GACCAGGCTGGCCTTGAACTCACAGAGATCTGCCTGCCTCCCGAGTGCTGTGATTAAAGGCATGTGCCACCACGCCCAGCTTTTTTTTTAAAAAAAATTTTTTTTTTAAGAATTAAAAACATCTTTAGTAGCTTTAGCCTTCATTTTGACTCTACCATACAGCAGCTCTGTAACTTTGAACCCTATTACTTGGAATTTTAGTTCCTTTGTGTAAAGATAATATTGCTTTATACAAGTTGGGGGTGTGTTTTTGAGGAGGGGCCAAGACAGGGTCTCCTGTGCATCCCAGTCTGTTCTCAAAACTTAAAGTAGTTCTTCAGTCTGCCAAGTGCTGGGATTACAGCCATGAGAAGCCACTCCTGGCTTCTTTGTAAGATTCTTAATAAATTAAAATATGGGGAATGTAAAAATAAAATGTTTGCCCAGTGTTTGACACCTAATAAGGATAGGGGTCACACATGCCAGCCACCTCTTTCTTTTCCCACATGATTTGTGATGGATGGTTGATAGTTAATAATTTTATTGAAACTTGTTTTCCCTTTTTGTAGTGAAGTTAAATGGTGGCAGACATGTCCAAGGAATACTGCGGGGCTTTGATCCCTTTATGAATCTTGTGATCGATGAATGTGTGGAGATGGCAACTAGTGGGCAGCAGAATAACATTGGAATGGTGGTGAGTAAAGGTGGTGGGCTTCTAGAGACTCTAGTAGCTGCTGGTAGTGTTTTGGGAATGTGCATTTGCTTCCCTTATATCAAATTCTTGGACTAAATTCTAGTTAGTTGTCCTATGAAAGGCAAATAACAGGAAAGATTGGGACTTTCCATTTCCTCTCTAGATTTACTATGGACTAATCTGTAATAATATTCCACTTGTAGATAAGATCTCTCCTCTGTGGAACCTTCTCAGAATATAAGTTTTGAAACTGCTGTTGGAAATCATTTCTGAGCTTTGTTCTATAGAGGAAGGTATAACCAGACTCTGATTACAGCGAAAAATCTCTAACTTGCAAATGATGCCCTTAGACTATCTTGTTAAAGTGCAGGTTTCAGGCCTGGGAATATTGCTCCATAGTTTTTGGGGGGGTTTTTTTTGTTTGTTTTTTTGTTTGTTTTTTTAATGTGTATGAATGTATTGCCTGCATGTATGTACGTGCACCCATGTTGTGCAATGCCTCGGAGGTCTGAAGATGGCATCAGATCCCTTGGAACTGGAGTTATGGATAGTTGTTAGCCACCATGAGGGTGCTGGGAATTAAACCCAGGTCCTCTGGAAGAGCATCCAGTGCTCTTAACCACTGAACCATCTCTCTCGCCCCAAAGTTTACATTTCTAACACCCATATACTACAGAGCTGCTGGTTCACAATTTACACAGTAGTTTATATGTGATCATAGTTAACTTAGATTTTTAGTTTATCACATTCTAATTTTAAAAATAAATAATCAGGGGCTGGAGAGATGGCTCAGTAGTCAAAAGCACTGGCTGTTCTTCCAGAGGATCTAGGTTTGATTCCCAGCACCCACATGGCAGCTAACAACTGTCCTTAATTCCAATTCCAGGGGTATTTGACACCCCCTTCTGACCTTGCAGGCATTTAACGACATGGGTGTACTTACGTGCAGACAATATACACATAAAATAAAGATAATAAAATACAAAAATAGATAAGGGAACACTTACAACGGCTAAACATAATGACAGCCATTCACATGAGAGAAAAATAAGTTAAACCTGAAGAGAAATAATGAATATTAAGCTTTCATTTGGTTTGGGGTTTTTATTTGAGATAGTATCTGTATGGCCAGGAACTCAACTAACCTACTTCAGCCTCCCCAAGTGCTAGGATTACAGGCTGGGCCAACACACACAGCTGAGCCTTCATTTTAGAAGTCAACAGTTTTGCATTTATTAGGCAACAGTTCTGTGGCCACAAAAGAAAAGTTCTGGTATTTGTCAGAAAGACCCGAATTTTGAATTGCTGTTTGTCTGGCATAGGACACTGTACCTCAGAGTAGTAAATCCACACTACTAAAAGGCGTGGCGCACCCCTTTAATCCCAGCACTCAGGAGGCAGAGGCAGGTGGATCTCTGTGAGTTTGAAGCCAGCCTGGTCTACATAGCGAGTTCCAGGCCAGCAGGGCTTCAGGGAAACCCTGTCTTAATAAGACCAAAAAAAAAAATTTTTTTTTAAAGGTAAATATAAGGCCTCCATGAAGGAATGTGGGTCCTAATTGTTAGCCTTTTTTCCTCTACCTCTTGCCTCCATTTTTTTTTCTACATATGGTGCTCGAGATTGAAAATAATGGCTTCATCCACTGACAGCAGAAAGGTGAAGATAGACCACTTTTTTACTGTTTTTACTTGTATGATAATATTGTAAATAATTTTATATCATTTCAAATCAAAAGTTTATGTTACTATACCAGGTATAGTGAGTGGTGCATGTCTACGATTTATACATCTGTAATCTTGGCCCTCAAAAAGCTAAGTGTCATGATAATAGCTACTCTAGAATGTGGATTATAGTTCTTAAAAATGAAAACACAGCTGGCTAGGTAGACATACTATAACCCTGGTGCTCGGGAAGCTAAATTACAATGACCAGACATCTCAAAGTTAATTATTACTTTTTTACTTTCAGTCTCAGTGTGGATTTCTTCTAAGGAGTTGAGTTAGTTGGCTTTGTGTTGTTTCTCTCCCCCTCCCTACCCTGTTTGAAGGTCTCACTATGATCCACCAGCCTCTGCCTTCTGAGTGCTGAGATTAAAGGTGCTACTTCATGTTGTGATTTAAAGACTTACTTGGTGCCCCTGTGGCTTGAAAGAAACATCACTGCCATGATACTGAAAAATAATTATTGATTTGATGAAAATTTTGTTGTTACATTGTTTTTTGAGACAGGGTCTCCTGTAGCCATGGCTATGCAGACCAGGCTGAGCTTGATCTTGCAGAGAACTACTACCTCTGCCTCCTTAGTGTAGGGATTAAAGTTGTGTGTTGCCACACCACACCGGGCTCTGGTGAAAATTCTTTGATTGTTGGTTTGTCTTTTAAATGAATTGCTCTTTTCAAATTGATTTTTCTTTCTCCAGGTCATACGAGGAAACAGTATCATCATGTTAGAAGCCTTGGAACGAGTTTAAACAATGGCTGTTCAGCAGAGCAGTCCATGTTCCCTCTCCAAAGGGCCTGTTTTACTATGACGTAAAATCTGGTCGTGTACATTTTCATATGGAAGTTTTTGCTAAATAAACTTTTGTAGTACTCAAATGCTTTTCTGGTGTTCTGAATGTAGAAGTGGTTCTTGGTTGAGCCTGTTTTCGAGCAGTTTTATGCATTCTAATAGGTTAGCTTTTACACATTGCTTTCCTCACCCTTGATTTTAAATGTTTTAGGGTTCTGCTTCCTAGAGAAGAGGGGCAGCTCCCACCATGTAGTGGAAAAAATAACATTCTCAGTTTCTGACCCAAATAGAAAATCTCTGTCACACAGATTGGCTGCCCTTTTCCCAGGTAGCCTGCCAGTGACCCACCAAAGGGCGCTCTGCATACCCAGCCATCAGCCTCATGATGGACTTCAGAAACAACTATATCCATCCACAAACTGGAGCTTAGTTGGGCTACAAAATAAAAGCAATGAAGACCTAATACATGGTAGTTTAAGATGGATCTTGTCTCTTGAGATTTAACACCTTCTAAAAGAACTGCCAGACAGGCAACTCTGAGTAAACCAAAGGGTCAGGGGAGTCATACCTTTGCAAGTAACTAATGCCTACAAGCTGTGGAGAGGAGTGAGTGGTTAAGAGCACAGTCTTAAGAACTTGTCCATTTCTCATCAGTTGATCCTTGGGTTCCTGACTGTCCCAGGACTCAGTCTACCACTTAGAAAGGGTAGAAAGGATCCTCTACCCCTTGTAAGTAAGGTAAGGCCTGAGCGTTAGACTTGCATGTAGGTAGGTACACCTGTGTCGTGCTGTGCCTTTGGAGATCAGAAGAGAGTGTCTGGTCCCTTAGAACTGGAGTTAAGAGATGGTTGTTAGCATGGGATTTGAACCCATGTCTTCTGCAAAAAACAGCCAGTGCTCTTAATCACTAAGCATCAAGGCCTCCTTAAAGGAAGCAAATCATGACAATTAGGTTAAGCTGTTCATGTTTTCTTTTTTTGTGATACTGAGAACTGAACCCAGAGCCTCAAACATGCTATTAGGAGTCTCTACCACTGAGCCCTGTCCCCAGCACCATCATGTCAACTAAATGTTCCCCTTATGGTGGCCTGAAAGAATCTGGTACATACAAAATTCATAAGCACTCCATTGTAGCCTTCTTGTAGAAGCCATCCTATGCGAGGAGAGCCACAGACAGTACCTTTTCCCATGTTAGATTCATTTCTTGACATACTTTGGCTATAGTCTGTGTCCTGCATATATGTGTGTGTGTTTTATGCAGGTGTGTGCACCCATATACACTGGTGTAGAGGCCAGAGAACACCAGGTGTTCAACTCTATCAAACTCTCCTTTGTTCCCTTGAGACAGTCTCTCACTGAATCTGGGGCTCACCATGCCATTTGGACACATTGGCTAGCCAGCAAACCCCAGGGATCCACCTGACTGCCTCCCCCCACATTGCTGCGATTATAGACAAACAATTTTCTCTAATGTGTAGCCTGTCAATAAAGGTCTCTGGGCCATATATCTCCAGAGAACTTGTAATAGAACCTGCTGTTCTATTACTGTGGACATGAAGGCAGGGCCATTATCACCAAATGGATTCAGGCATGCCATAGCCAGGAATAATGTCCGTCCATTAACTCAAGCGAATTGAACAGATTCCTGTGCTTAAAGGATAGGCCTCAATCAAGCTGTCAACCAGACAGCTGGTTTTCTGGTTGGAAAATGTCAACCAAAACTGCTGCGTGAAGTCCCACAGCCTCAGGCCTCTGGGGGAAACCCACTTGACAATCTTCAAAGGGATATGGCACGCAGTGTTGGAACTAGCTAGCTTTGGGCAGCTTTTTGATGATTTTGGCACAGAGTTGGTGTTCTAGGGGTTGCCTTACTTATTGTCTAGTGTAATCCAGGCCCTCTGAGGTACAGTTATACATTAATGGGTCTCACATATAATCACAGCCCTGATGAGTATAGTTAACTTGATCAGACACAAGCTGTCCTAATGAAGTGACTCCGTGAGACTTTACCTTCCATTAAAAGGAAAGGTCTTGTCCTTCACAACCCCATTCTGAGGCTCTCATTTCATCTGCTCTGAATATTCAAGAGATTAAAAAGGGCTAGTTTTGTTTTCAGCTGATTTAGCTCATCTGCATGTGGATTCGATCCCTGAGCCCTATGGAGTTTCTTAGAATGGCTCAACTAGCTGCTTTTCTATCGCTGTGACCATAATAATACCTAACAAAAAATATAAGGGAGAAGGGTTTATTTCTAAAACCTTCAGTTTAGAGGGTTTCAGTCCGCAGTTGCCAGGCCCCAAGTGCTTGGGCAGGGCTTCATGTGCAGTGGGAGCATAAGGCAGAAGACAGCTGTCCACATCCCAGCACACAGGAAGCAGAGAAGGCAACAGGTACCCGGGGTCACGCCCAGACCTTCCAGCAAGAACCCCCACCTCTCAAAGTTCCACAGCCTCCCAAACTAACACCCCCAGCTGGAGAACAAGCATCCAAATCATGAGCCTGGGGTGGGGACATTTTAAGTTCAAACCATAACAGTCCCAAATAAGGCATGGCTGCTACCTCCTCTGGATGAAGACAGCCTCTGAGTACTTGGAGAGTCTCAGGACAGGCTGGACTGGCTAAGTTCACCCTGAACTGTTCCTTTTGCCTTCACCTGCACCTCTGAGTTGCTGGGATTACAGGTGTACACACCTGATTCTCTGCAGTGCTAGGAATGGAACCCAGCGCTTCCTGCATGCTAGGCAGTAAACATGAGCTCAGAGCAATGTTTCTTCCAAGGCCTTTTCTCACATATTGTTCTTTTCCTAAGCTCTTTTTCCTTTTGGAATGGAACCCTGGTATTATAAGCAGTGAGCCCAAATGTGTAATGCTGGGCTTGAGTTCAAGGCCAACCTGGTCTACATAGAGAGTTCAGGTCAGCTAGAGCTACAGGAAGACCCTATCTCAGACAAAAAAAAAAAAGTAAATGTATAGACCCCCATGAGGTGATAACAAGATAAGAAGACCTAATTGGTAGCTTTTTTGTCTTCCTGCTGAATTCCCCCCCCCACCCCAGTGGTACTGTATTAAAAGTACAACTTCATCCACTAAGCTAGATCCCCAACTTCTTAAGTTCTTTTTATTTCATAGGTATGTGTGAGTATAGGCCACGTGTGTGTGGATGCCTGTAGATTCCCCTGGAGCTGGAGCTAGAAATGTTTATAATCCACTAGACATGGGTGCTGGGGTATGAACTGTTCTAGAAGAGCAGCAAGCACTGTTAACTGCTGAGCCATCTCTCCAACATTGGACGTATTTTTTGACTACTTCTACAATAATATTTTAAACCATTCTTTTAAATCACTTCAAAAGTTAGTTATTATTTCAGAGCCAGCTGTAGTATACACCTGTAATCTCAGCCCACAGGAGGCTGATTACTCTCTGTGATATGGATTAAAGTTCCTGTGTAAAGATAAAGAAAAGTTTATTACCCTGCAATCTAGATGTAGATTTCCTATAACGGTCCTCAGCAGTTTCATGACATGGTTTAAAACTTGGTGGTTCCTGTGGCGGGGGGAAAATTCCCCCAGCATAGAATATTAAAAATCATCATTGGGGGCCGGGTGTGGTGGTGCATGCCTTTAATCCCAGCACTTGGGAGGCAGAGGCAAGTGGATCTCTGTGAGTTCAAGGCCAGCCTGGTCTACATAGTGAGTTCCAGGACAGCTGCGGCTACAGGGAGACCCTGTCTCAAAAAGACCCCCCCGCAAAAAAAAAAATCATCATTGCGGGTTGGAGAGATGGCTCAGCAGTTAAGAGCATTGGCTGTTTTGCAGAGGATTCAGGTTCAATTCTCAGCACCCACATGGCAACTAACAACTGTCCATAAAATAAAAATAATAGCCAGGTGTGGTGGTACACACCTTTAATCCCAGCACTCGGGAGGCAGAGGTAGGCAGATCTCTGTGAGTTCGAGGCCAGCCTGGTCTCCATAGCAAATCCAGGCCAGCTGTGACTACAGGAAAACCCTGCCTCAAAAAGACCAATAATAATAATAAATATAAAAACATTGGTTTGATGAAGATAATAAATCAGGTCAGGTGCATTTTCATATGAAAGTTTTTGCTAAATGAACTTTTGTAATAATCAAAAATGCTTTTTCAGAGCTGGAGAGATGGCTTATTGGTTAAGACCATGTGCTGCTCTATAGAAGACTGGAGTTTGGTTCCCAGCACCCACATCAAGTGACTCACAACCACCTGTATAATTCAGCTGCAGTAGGAACCGACACCTCTAGCCTCTGCCGGCACCTGCATTCACATGCACATACCCACACCCAAGCATACACACAAAAGCCTAATTAAAAAATATATATACTTTTTCAGATGTTTTGAATAGTTTTGAATGTAGAAATAGTGTTATTTTTCTTTTTTTTGTTACGTGTTTGTGTTTGTTTGTATGTGTGTATGCGCTTCACGCTTTCAAGTGCCCAGAGAGATCAGAAGAGGGTGTCAAATCCCCTGGAGCTAGAGTTACAGGGGATTGTGAACTGTCCAAAGGGGGTTCTGGGAACTGAATCGGGTCCTCTGGAAGAGGAAGAAGTGTTGTTAACCACTGAGTTCTCTCTCTAGAACCTAAATCTCAGATTTTAGGTTTTGGAATCCTTGTATACATGAGCTATCTTGGGACTGGGACTCAAACCTAAACATGAAATTCAATTATGTCACTGCAGCTCATGCACTTTGTGCACAGGTAACTAACTTTACAGTGTTTTTAGTGTGCCAGCATTTAGACTACAACTAGTCACATGAGATAACATGTCAACTATTTCTTTTGTAGCATCATGCTGGTATTTCCAAAGTTTCAGATTTTGGAGTATTTCAGTTAGGGATGGTCAACCCATACATCTATATTCTAAAAGTATTTCAACAGAAGTAACTACCACACAGGAAGTGATGACATAGCTGTTTATTTTTTAGCAATAATCATTAAGTGGGTAGGAATTCTTAGTAGAAATAGATTTCAGAGAAAAACATTCCAGTGTGCTATAGTCGTGAGAAGGTGGTAACAATGTGGGCCACAACTTAACCACTCATGACTTGCATGCTCAGGAAAGACACGACAGATTGCTGCATCCTAACCCTAACATGAGGAATCAGGCAATGACTTGAGGCCTGTTCATTTTCTGATCTGGTAAAAATTCTGTGAATTTCCAGTCAGTGTACAGTGTACATAAGTAAGTACGTAACAGCCTAGTGCATTTGGCATATGTCTGTTGCATTTCCTCTTCATAGCATTGTCAACAACGGGGGCTAGAGAGTTGGCTCAGCAGTTAAGAACACTGGTTGTTCTTGCAGAAGACCCGGGTTCGAATTCCAGCACCCACATGGCAGCTGACAACTGTCCGTAACTCCATTTCCAGGGCATCTGACAGCCTCTTCTGTCCTCCTTGAGTATTGCATGACATGGGTGCACTTACCTACATGCAGGCATAACACATAAAATAAAAATAATAAATAAAAATATTTTAAAAAAAAGAAAATGTCAACAGAACAGCTAGAGGAAACAGTTGAATCACAGCGGAAAGGGGTGATATGAAGTTCGCTCTTCAGCAGTGTTTTAAATCTTCACTTTTGATTTTCTTCAACCAAGGGAGCCACTATCCTCCAAGTGTGGTTCCAAAACAATAGCATCACCCTGGAACAGCTCAGAAACTCAAGTCCTCTATCCCACTACACACACATTGAACAGGAAACCCTTGGGATGGCCCAGCAGTGTTCTAATTCTCATTCCTGGTCACTGTGATGCAGGTGCAACTCAGCTAGACACCCTCTGGAGCTGGCTTCATGTGGCCCTTGCAGCCTTCCTACCAACTTCAGTAGAAACGGGGGCATGCTCTCTCTAAAACAGGAATCCTCTACTAGTGTGTTTCTTTTTGTCAAATTGTTTTAATTTTATGTGTATAGTATGTTAAGTGCACCATGTGCATGCAGTGCCCATACAGGCCAGAAGAGGGCGTCAGATCTCCTGGAACTGGAGTTAAGGATGGTTGTTAGCTACCATGTGGATGCTGGGAACCAAACCTGGGTCCTCTGTAAGAGCAGCCTGTGCTCTTAACTGCTGAGCCATCTTTCCAGCCCCTCATCAACTTATTCTTTAATGCTGTTGTTACCTTAAAAGGGCAGAATGTGCCTGGAGTAGCAGACTCTAAAAGTATTTATCTCTCCCGGAAAAAAACAAAGTACCCTTTTAACACAGCTGTTCCATTGAAACCACCTGATAATGCCAGGCTTGCTCACAACCTGCTTTGGTTTGGAGAAAGCAATCTCTTTTACACTGCTGGACTGCTGGAGAGTTTGATATAAGTTGGAGGTAATACCAGCATTTTAAGTTACAAGCCCAAACACATCCCATTACAAACTAAATTTAAAAGTTGGCAGGAAGCCAGGCATGGCGGCATATGCCTTTAGTCCCAGCACTTGGAAGGCAGAGGCAGGCAGATCTCTGTGAGTTCAAGGCCAGCCTGGTGTCTACATAGTGAGTTCCAGGCCAGCTGGGGCTGCAGGGAGACCCTGCCTTTTAAAAAAAAAAAAAAAAAAAAAAAAAAAAAAAAAACCACTGGCATTTATTCATCTTATATTTCTCTCTATTTGCAGCAATCCTCCCTTAGGGGGAATTGCTTTTGCTGATCTCTGCAGCCAGCCATGGTCTGAAAATGCTCAATGGAAAATGCCAAAAATACATTGTGAGTTCTAACTGACTTTCATAATGGTGTATTGTTACAATTTTTGTGTGCCAAATTTATAAATTAAAACTTTATCACAGGTATGTTTGTACTGTATGAAAAACCTGCATATGGGGTTCTGCTTCTCAATTTCAGGCACTCACTGGGAGTCAAGAAACATACCCCCTCAGATGGGGAACCCTGTATCAGTCTGCAACAGTGTTCCACTCTCTTCAAACTGTCTTCATTAAAACCACAACAGGAAAAAATACAAATGTCTCTGAACAAATTAGAAAAAAGCCAAGCTTTTGATAAACTAGGAGTTTATTCCTGTCACTATATCAAATATATCAGCTTTATTCGCACATTAATATTTACAATTCTATTAGGGAAAGAAATAATTTTTACAAAGAATCTGCATTCTCTTACACTGTTTTACTGATGTAGTCACTACTATAATCTGGTGAAGGAAGTTGTTTTTTTATCCCTTGAAACTGAGTCTTGTTACAGCCCAGGCTGGCCCCTGAACTCCTGATCCCCTTGGCTCTGCCACCCAAGTGCTGGGATTACAGGCATTCACCACCATGCCTGGAAAGGTAATTTTTTCCCCTTAATAACAATACCTGGTAGCAGTTGGAATTCACCAGCTTTGACTTGTTTTGTTCCACCAGTGGCTATGACAATCATTCTTGGCCTTGGGCAGTGGACAGAAAGCTGGATTTCTTAAATTGGGCTGCATACAAGAAGCTTGTAGGTCTACAGCTGACTCTGAAGTGCAGCCATGGCTGACAGCCACTGTCTTAAGATTTCAGCAACAGCCTCTCATCCACTATCTGATGCTTCACTCCTGCTGCGCTGGATCAAGTACCCCTGACCCTGAAGACTTCATTCTAGCATCGACTGCTCTGGCCTTACCAAGCTGCCTCTGCTCTTATTAAAGAGTGCCAGTGCTTCTTCCCAAAGCTCACTGCTGAAGTCTTCACTGAGTGAAAGGCCTCACTCAGCAGTCATTTCCTGTGGCATGCATCTCTGGGCTTGGGTTGGGTTGCTTAGCACTCCTAAGGCACTCAAAACCCTCTGCAGATGTTCTAATCCCATGTCTGGGATCCTCTCATTTATGGCTGCATGCTGGAAGCTTGAACTTGATAAAGTTACAATGCCTAAAACTCCAACCTCAACCCAGGAAATCCCACTTTCTATGTGGGACCCAAAGCTCTCAGGGCTGGGAATGTAGCTTTGTGGTAGAGCACTTGCCTAGGATGCTCAAGGTCCTGGGTTCAATCCTCACATGAGGGCCTAGTATTACAATACCAATTTTTTCAATTGATAGCCTGTATCTGGTTCCCATTTTACAGGAAATTTCTGTAGAAACTACTAAGGTTATACTCTTAAGACTTCTGAATCTTCCTAATATAATCAAGACAGAAGCAATCAAAAATCACATTCTCAAAGTCATGACTTTAGGCTGGAGCACATTTACATCAAAAAGGTGTAAACTGCCAGGAGTGGTGGCTCATGCCTGTGTCCCAGAACTTGGGAGGCTGAGGCAGGAGGATGCCTTTGAGTTCAAAGCTATCCTAGGGTTACATAATGAATTCCAGCCTGGAATACAAAGTAAGACCCAGCTTCAAAAACTCCCAAAAGCAAAACAAAGCAACAGGCAAGAAGACAGAGAGAGGGAGGGAGGGGAAGGACTGAAGGAAGACTGCTCTATAATATAACTGAAATGTTAGGCCCCTGCCCACTCTACTGAATCCAAATCAGATGTTTATCAAATTTCAGGCAATTTTTCTGATCGGGCAAGTCTGGGAAACACTACCAATGTTTCCCAAAGTAGTTAAGAGCCGAGCCTGGCAACACAGGCCTGTAATCCACTACTGGAAAGGCTGAGGCAAGATGACTGCAAGTTCAAAAGAAAAACCAAAAAGAGGTGTTGTAGCTCACTCAGTTCAGTGGTGGAGTGCCTGCCTAGCACACAGGGCCTTGGGTTCAATCCCCAGTACCACCACCACCACCACCATCACTCCCCTGAGAAAAGGGTGCAGGGAGTGAAAACATTCTAGGTATGGCTAAGGATGAAGTTGTCTACAGAACCGTTTGTTTCCTCATGACCCACAGGGATGGCTGTTAAATGATTCAAAATCATCTCTGCTCAGATTCTGTCCTTTGCCACTGGGATGCTCTGGGAACCAGGAGTGGGAGGGGCCAGTGCTCTGTTACAGCTCTGTCTTAAGTTTCTCATACAGGCCGTCCTGGTCGATCATGTCTGCATTCCCGTTCCAGCGGTGGTAGGCAAGGAGCGCAGCATTGTAGCCAGCGATGGCGCTCATCTCCATGCAGCTGGCCGCGAACTCGATGCCATTGAGGTAATAGAGCCGGTCGTGGAGGATGATGGACGGGCACTTCTGCGGGGGCTGGTAGTGCGGATATGACAGCCACGTCTTCCGAACAGCATAATCGTACGACAGAAAGAGCTTTGAGATCTGCTCTTTGGTAAGAACGTCCCTGGAGAAGGTCTTCCACACGTGCGTTCCACCTCCCGCCAGGGCAGGCCTCTCCTTTTCTTTTACGGGGGACACAATCGATAAGCTGTTAATAAACATATCTGAGTTATCAGTAACTAGAATCACAGAGAGGCCAAACTGATCCTGGGATCTGGAGCTGAAGAGAGTGGCATTCAGTTCTCCTTTCACAAGCGTGGTCACCAGGTGTTGGTATGGTTCCTGGAATTCCTCGATGGGCGAGTCAAAGTTAAGGAAAGTTATGCCGGACATTCTCTGATTCAGTGGAGTAGCCACAAGGACGATGTCATAGAAGTCCGAATGGGTCTCAGATCCTGTTTTATAGGTCACTTCATACATCTTTGTGGGGTTTCCTAGAGAGAACAGAGAAGCATACATTTCTTAGTGCTTCTAACATACTAAATTTCATGTCTTCTAAAAATAATTCTGCAGCTGGATATGGTGGTGTACGCCTTTAATCCCAGCACTTGAGAGGCAGAGGCAGGTGGATCTCTGTGAAATCAAGGCCAGCCTGGTCCACTAGCAAGTTCTAGGCCAGCTGGGGCTACAGGTGTGTCTCAAAAAAACCAAAAAACAACCCCCAAATTTTACTTTTTTGGTCTGTTCATTCATATATATGTAAAATAGATATAAATGTGTGTGTGTGTGTGTGTGTGTGTGTGTGTGTGTGTGTGTGCGTGCCCCCATGTTTCACGTGGAAGCCAGAGGTCACCCCTCAGGTGTCATCTTTCAAGAGCCATTAACCTTATTTTTGGGACAGGGTCTCACTGGAGCTCATCAACTAGGCTAGGCTGGCTGCCAGTGAGCCCCAAGGATGTGCCTGTCTGTCTCACTTCCCCAACACCAGGATTACAAGCACTTACCACCATGGTCAGGTTTTTATGCGGGTGCTGGCTCAAACTTAAGTCCTCAAGCTTACACAGCAAGCACTTTACTGATTGAGCTATCGTCTCAGCCCTGTTTTTATTTCTGAGACAGGATCTCATGTAGCCCAGGCTATTCTCAAATTCACAATGTTGCCAAAGAGAAACTTAACCTTCTGATGCTCCCCCCACCCCCGAAGTGTTAGGATTATAGGTCTATGCCAATCACATATTGTTTCATTAATGTGGGAATCAAACCCATGGCATCATGCATGCTAGGTAAACACTCTATCCAACCAAGATACATTCCCCAGCCCATAATTCCTGTGTGTGTGTGTGTGTGTGTGTGTGTGAGAGAGAGAGAGAGAGAGAGAGAGAGGAGAGAGAGAGAAATGTATGGTGTATGCATACATGTGAAGGCAGGTGTGTATGCCTATGTGTGCACACGGAGGCCAGAGGACATTGGGTGTCCTGCTCAGTTACTCTCTGCCTTATTCCTTGAGACAGAGTCTCTCACTGAACCTGGATCTAGCAGCAAGCCCCAGCAGTCCTCTGATCTTTGCTCCCCACAGCGCTGGGGTTACAGGAGTGTGAGCAGGACATCTACCTTTTTTTTCTTTTTTTCACACAAGTACTGTGGATCTGAACGCCGGTCCTTATGCTTGTATAACAAGCGATCTTTTTTTTTTTAATTTTTTATTTTTTTGTCTTTTTGAGACAGGGTCTTCCTGTAGCCCCAGCTGTCCTGGAACTCACTATGTAGACCAGGCTGGCCTCAAACTCACAAAGATCCGCCTACCTCTGCCTCCCAAGTGCTGGAATTAAAGGCTTGCGCCACCACGCCCAGCCATCTAGCAAGCGATCTTACCCACTGAGTCATCTCCCTAGCTCGCCAAAAGTCCATAATTCTCTTTTAATAGTTTCTCTACAATTCTAAAAAGTTAAGGGAGAATTATCCAATTGTATTACACTGGAGACAAATTTCTATTCAGACTGTTAGTAAGAACAAAATGTGGAACCTTTCCTCTATGAATGAGATTTTCTCTATATCCCTTGAGCCATACCTGTGCCCTTGAACACAGCTGGGAGCATTTCTGTATGTTCAGTGTAAAGTTCCACTGTTCTATAACCTTGTAAGAGATCCCAGAAGAAAAGTTTTTCTGGGCTGGGGAGATGGCTCGATGGGTAAGAGAGTTTGCTGCACAGGCATGAGGACTTGAATTCAAATCCCCAGCACCCAGGTAAAAAGCTAGGCATGGTCACATGCAGCTGAAACTCCAGTTCTGTTGGGGAGGTGTGAAGACAAGAGAATCACTAGGGCTTGCCGGCTGCCAACCTAGCTCCAAGTTCAGAATGAGACTCTGTCTCAAATTAAAGGTGGAGAGTGAGAGAGCAGAACACCCTACATCCTCTAGTGGCCACCACATGCACACACATGTGTGTATACAACACACAAATTTTTAAAAATTTGAACACATATATGTGAAACGTTTTTTCTCCCTGAGCCATCATTTTCTCCAGGAATAACCAGGAACAATGAAAGTTCAGGCTTACCTGTCTGCTTGGTCCTTGTTTTCTCCTCTATGGACATTACTGAGCCAAATATAAGATTGCTGTTGGCAGCCTGAAGGAGCCCTGAGCAAACTACTTTATTACCACCTTCCACAGCCCAAAGGTTGGAATCGGCAGCTGTCAATGACACCGCCCCTGTCAATGGGAGACAAAAATATGCTTTAATTCTGTCTTGGTAGGCAAGTAGCCACTACCTACTCTCCTGCCTACTTAGACGCTCTGCTCCAAACATCCCCAGACACTACCAGATGACCCTCAAGGGCAGGTCTCACCCAGGTGAGAAGCACTGAACTTCAGAAGCTAGCATGTCTTTAATCCCAAGACTTCAGAGACAGAAGCAGGTAGATCTCTGTGAGTTCCAAGCCAGCCTGCAGCTTGGTCTACATAGTGAGTTCCAGGTTGGCCAGGGCTACATAGTGAGACTCTGTCACACTCAAAAAAATGTTGCAGCTGTGAAAGGAAGCTGCTCCCAGCTAGGGCCGGAAGCCAGCAGCTACCGCAATATCAATTAAGTCCTTTTGTTAAACTCCCCTGATTTTTGCCAGTCCTGGCTTACCCACAAAGGCGTTGAGGTCCATGCTTTGGCCAAAATTGACCCTCATGATAGGAGCAACCATTTCGTTGAGGAACGTTTCAGAGAAGCCTGCTCTCTGCAGGCTTTCACGGAGTGTGTGGTTAAGCAGCCCAACGTAGTCGTCCCCTCCAATGGCGTGCATTAGCTTCTCTACACTGCTGAAGGCATAGTCATGGGACTGGTAGCGGTAGACCCTTGAGAAGAGGCAAAATGACCATTAAACACCACACAAGAAAGGAGGGGAAAGGGCAAATAAAGAGCAAAAACAGCAGCTAATCAAACTGATGCTGGGTGTGGTAGTCCACACCTCTAGTCCCAGCACTTAGGAGGCTGACGCTGAGGACGGACTGACTGTAGGTCAGCCAGGTGGGCCACACAGTGAGATTCTATCTCAGAAAAACGAATTTAAGAAAAAAAAAAAAAATCATGATTTGACTTCTATGTTTTCTTTTGATGAATTTCTTCCAGTTAGTTCAGACATAACTCAATCTCACCTTCCCTGGCTCTCCACCCTCTACTTCCTCTGTGGTCCTAGGTATACATGCTCCCTTTTCTGCACTAAGAGGGTCACTGGGACACCTTCAAAAAATATGTATGTCTTGGGGATGTAATTCAGTTGGTAGAGTGCTTGCCTAGCATGCACAAAGTCCTAGGTTTGATCTCCAGCTCCCCACAAAACTGGGCAGGAGAGCAAAAACCTTCAGCACACAGAAAATAGAGGCAGGAGGATCAGAAGTTCAAAAGTATCTCTGGCTACATAGCAAGTTCAAGGCCAGCCTGGACCACATGAAAGGAGTGTGTCTGGTTCTCATTTTCTGTATCTTTCAGCAGCATCTTTGCACCAGCTTGATCTTCTCAACCTACCCTCAACCCTAAACAAACATCACCTCCGTGCCAAAGCACACCAAGCAGGAAACCTTGTCAATCTTCCTAAGGTCTCTCATTACTCCATTCTCACTCCCTTGATCTAGTCAGGAGTTAGACCCATCTACTTACTTCTGTTTTCTTTTCTTTGAAATATTTATGACTCCCCACAAAGTCCTAAAGTAACTTTTGTCATCTATAATATTTATACAAAAATAGTATTTCTCACTGAAGTCCAGATTATTTAACCTAACATTAAAAAGAAAAGAAACAGAGGTAGTGAGATAACTCAGCAGGTAAAAGCAGTTGCTTCACAAGCCTCAGACTTGAGTTCAATGCCAAAGTCCACAGTGGAAAGACAGAACTGATGCACAAAAGTTGTCCTCCGGCCTCCACTATGCATGAGTGCACCCACATGCTCATCATACATATCACACAATTGTTACATTGAGGTCTATAGCAAAAAAATATTCTTTGGGTATGATGGGGGTTGTCCTCTTGATTTTTTACCTGAACTCTATGCCTAATATTTAGAAGAATTAAAGAAATATTTTCCAAAGTGGCTTTAATATCTCACTAGCAACATATAGGACTCCAGTGTCTACACACATTAGCCAACCTTGTTACTGTCACTGCTCATTGCAGACAGAAAAGACTGAGCACTGCTGGGGCCGGAGAGAAGGCTCAGTGGTTAAGAGCACTGGCTGCTCTTGCAGAGGACCCAGGTTCAGTTCCCAGCATCCACATGGCAGCTAACAACCATCTGTAACTCCAGTTTCAGGGGCTCTGATCCCCTATTCTGGCCTCCACAACCATTGCAAGCACCAGTGCATATATATACATGCAGACAAAACACTTATACACATTTTTTAAAAAAAGTGAACATTGAGTTTTTCTAACACTATTTGTTCAAAAGAAATTCTTTTTCATTGAACTGTCCTAGCACCTTTGTTGAAAATAAATTAAACATAATTATGAAGATTTTGTTTTCTGGACTTTCAGTTCTGCTCCACTTGTCTGTATTTCTATCCTTTAAAAAAGTATCACATTATTTGATTAAAATAGCTCTGTAGTAAGTTTAGAAATCAGAAAGTGTAACTTTTATCAACTTCATTATTTTTCAAGATTGTTTTATCTATTTTGTGCCCTCTGTACTTCAGTATGACTATTAGGATCATTTATTAACCTCTGCAGCTGATATATTGAGAAGAATCTAATTGAATCTCTACAGAAATTTGGAGAATATTATTTAATAACAATAAGTGTTACAATTCACTAAGGTAGATGTCTTTCCATTTATAACTCATAAATAAGGTTACTTGCAACCATTTTCTTAAAAACAAAACAAAAAACTTACAGCCACATGTGGTGGCACACGTCTTTAATCCCAGCACCCAGGGAGGCAAAGGCAGGTAGATCTTTGTGAGTTCTAGGCCAGCCTGGTCTACACAGTGAGTTCCAGGCCAGCTTAGAATACAGGGAGACCCTGACTCAAAAAGACCAAAAAAAAAAAAAAAAAAAAATCTTACTTAAAGAGTTAAGAATGTGCTGGTTAATATTTTTGTCAACTTGACACAAGCTAGAGTCATCTGGGAAGAGGGAACCTCAATCAAGGAATTTCCTCCATCAGGCTGGCCTGTGGGCATATCTGTAGGGTAGTTTCTTGATTGCTAATTGATGTAGGAAAGCCTAGCCTACTATGAGAGTTGCCATCCCTAGGCAGGTAGGCCTGCGCTATATAAAAAAAAAAGTAGCTAAGGGGGACTGGAGAGGTGGCTCAGTAGTTAAAAGCACTGGCTGCTCTTGCATAGGACCTGAGTTTGATTCCCAGCACCCACATGGTGGCTAACAACTGTCCACAACTCCACTTCCACAGGATCTGATGCCCTTTTCTGACCTCCACAAGCATTTCATGACACGGGTACACTTACATGCACACAAGCAATACACTCATACACATAAAATAAAAATACCAAATAAAATACGTTTAGCTGGGCATGGTGGCCCATGCCTTTAATCCCAGCACTCGGGAGGAAGAGGCAGGCAGAATTCTGTGAGTTCCAGGCCATCTGGGGCTACAGGGAGACCCTGTCTCAAAAAGACAACATAAATAAAGTAATTTATATATATATAAAAAAAATACTTTAAAAAAAAAGTAGC